AATGACCCCTTCCTGGTGACTATAACAGCCTATTGCAAAGCTACAGCAGTTGAATCTCTTCAGCAAACACAGGCCAAGTTTCAGCTGAAAATATCTTTAACATTCTGTAGGTAGGAGAGAGACAGTTGTCATTTCCTAACTGACAGTAACACTGTCGACTTAAAAATCACGTGTAAGCAAACAAGTGCCCCGACAAAGCATGGGCACTAACAACATCTCAGGTTACTCAAGCAGCTGTCCCAGGAGCAGCAGAACTAATTACGCCTGGGTTACCATGTCTTTGTGACTTGGTCATGAGTCCCAGTAGCTGGTTCGGAGCATCACGCGTGCTGCTTGGCCAAGTGGTGATCAGGTAGTGCTCCCTTCCTCAGGGCAACCCTTCTTAGACATGGGTTTAGGTCTTTCTCCCATTGCCATGAAACCTGTTGCATCACCACAGGTCTGGAACTTCTGCATCCCTGCCAGATTTGTTTGTGTTTGATCAATGGGTTCAAGAATTACTGGAAGACTGAGACACACACGAACAGATGGATGGGCTGGAAGATAAACTGAAAATACAACATATAGCCTAAGCAGTGTTTGCATTAATAATTAACAGCCTGGGGCTTTAGCTTCGGGTTGGTTTTTTTTCCTACTGATTTGAGATTCTGGAAAAACTATATTGTTCAAAGTAGGCTCTGAGATGACTGTGTATACACTTTTCAGGCTTCTAGATGTCTTAATTGTGATTGGAATCAAGGAAAGCAGAATTAAATTATAACCAGTGAATTCAATGACTAAGTGAGACGAGTCCTTCCACTGACAAGTCTTTCATCTAAATATAATGCAGTTTGGTAGAACCCATTAATTGCTGACAAATAGTTTGGAGGTTTCTGTTTAACTACTGGTATACTTCTCCTTTGAAAAGACCCTGTCCAAACTAGAATTTAATAGTAGGCTTTATTTGGAGTTACCAGATTAAGAGTATCCCAATTTGTCCTATGAAGCAGGGAGGGTAGAGGAGAGGATGCTCAGAGGGGTAGGGAAGTTTTATTTTGCTCTGTCCTGGGGATGAATCCAGCATTTCCATTCACCACACCATTTTTTTAAGAGCTCTAACTCAGCTCAGTACATAAAACAAGATTTTAATGATATGTACCAGTTAAAAAAATTGGGAAGTGTTACTACCCATCCAGAAAATTCAATGTAATCTCAGGGGGTTTGGGGCTGCTGATGGCTTATGGTTTTTTGGGATCAAGGGCTGGACTTGCAATCCTTCTTGCAGGAACTTCCCAGTTCCTTTTCTCCATTTTCTCCTGGCTGTTTTCAGGAAATGCCCCACTGAGGGCATGGCAGACCCTTGCTGATGCTTACTAGCCATTTCTCAGAGGCACTGAAACTTGCTGGCACATCTGTCCCTAAATCAACTTTAAATGCCAGCTCCCATTGTGAAGCAGCTAAGAATTGGATCTCTTGAAATCATGAGACCTGTCTTGAAAAACACCTGATGTTTGTGAAAAGCAGCAAGAATAGGATTGTTCATTAGTGCCTGCGGCAGTGGGGTGCATTTAGGCACATCGTTTTGGTCTCTCTCCATAATGCAACAGACTAGGAATATGTTTGAGTAGAAATTCAGACTCTCACGGTCACTTGTATCGAGGAGCTGCCACTTTCAATGAAAAAACATTTCCCGCAACTGGAGCTGGCAGCATTGCATTTCATGTGCAATGACCTGCATCTTCATCCATCTTAGATACCTTCTTACCCTGACTGTGAATTAGAGACAGACGTTCATCTCCTCTACCATAAACTCGTTCAATTTAAATACAGTTTAGCTCTTTTAGGCAATCCCTTCTGATCCCTTCTCGATCTTCCGGTTTTAATAGCATCGAGTGCAGCGGAGAGGTGACTAACATCACCTGCAGTAACGCCTGCGTGTGCTTTGGGAATAAATGATGCAACTTTTTCACCATAACAACATCTGGGAAAAACAGAGCACTACATCTTTTAACAACACCTAAGTAATGGAATAGCAACAGTGCCCAAGAAGTGACTGTAAACTGGAGCAGCCAACACTTGTGCATTTACACGAGTCATTTCTAACCCCTAGCAAGTGGTCAAAGCCCAGGCCTGCACCAGGCCAGCATGGCACAGCATCTGCAAGCTCCAGCTTGGACCTGCACGGCATTTTACCCCCAAAACTTTCCCGTAGTGAAGCCTGGTTGGCAAAGCTGCCAACCAGGTAAAGCTGTTCTGTAGGTAAGGCTTGGTTCCTGTACTGTCCACTGACCCTCACTGCCTCCCACCAACAAATGCAGGGGCTTTTGTGACACCCTTCTGGTCTTTTAAAGAGCAGGAGAGGGCTTGCACTGTATGCACTTGAACAACCACAGCTTTTTCCAAAACTGGCTTTGTCAAGTGTACAATATTGTTAACTCCCAGTAGAAGTAATACTACACATACATGGTTTCCAGAAATAACGAGCTATGGAAAATAGCCCTACGGGAACCCTTAGGAGATCAACTTGTACATCAGCACATCTGTTCTTCACTTCAGTCACAGTAGCTGGGCAGAAATGAGCTGGTGCCTTACGTTCATAGTGTTGCTGTTACACTACATGTATCTGCTGTAAAACATTTCAAGATTATTTTAAAAGGGACTGTAATGATCTTACTTAGCTAAACTGTGGAACTGCAGTTTCAACATAAAATTTCAGAGCAGAGGGCATGGTTCAGCCTTTGCAGCATCAGGCACCATGCTGTCGCTCCACCTGAGCTCACCGATTGCAGCAAATCCTGCTGGGCCTAAACCCTCACAGAGAGAACAAAGAATTCAGCTTACTTTGGCCTTTAAGCTTTTGTATCCTTCTTCCCACCAATTTCTGTATTCCCTTTTCCTCTTCTCCCATTTTGAATCAAAGTCTAAAAGCAAAGCTAGTTTCCCTAGATGGGTGGCCAGCACAAAGGCAGAGCCTGGAGTTTCCTGAGCTGTTGGCCACGAGTAGCAGCTGCAGTCCAGGGCAGCACTGAGATCCCACCAAGAAGTTCCTACAGTTCCTGCACCCACTTTCTACTGTTACTGGTGCCGTGTGGTCTTCCAGAGACCATGGGATGTTCATTCTTTACAGAAGGTTACTGTGAACATGTGCATCTTTAAAATCCCTGCAGATCACCAAGTCATGAGAACATAGACCTCAGTAAGGTCTCAGCACTCCAAAATCAGCAGAACACTATCTGAATAAAAGTGTAGATGAACATGCATGAAAAGTCCACCAGTAACACTGTAGGGATTTGTATAGCGAGGGATGATTTTGAGTATTGAGAAACATGATTCATCTTGCAACTCTGTTTTTAACTTTCAGCCTGGTAAACATGGTAAAATGAGGCTATTTCTGTCTTCAAAAACGTATGGGTTTTGGGACATTTTGGGGACCTTTCACTTTTCAAGATTGAATAATAGTTATTAAAAATCACTATTATTAATTTCAGGAGCCGAGGAAGTCAACACACTTCATATAACATCCCTGACGCAAAGCCTCATTCCTTTCAAAAAGGAAGAATCTTGTTGAAAAAAGCAAAGGATGAAAAAACCAGCTTTCAGCCAGTGAAATACTTCTATGAACCTGTTGACTGCTCAAGAGAAATATGGAGAGCACAAAAGAAAGGTGAACCAGTCTGCTCTGCAAGGAAAGCGAGCGCAAAATCCAAGATTGGTAAAAAGTCCAAAGCGCTATAGGAATGGTTAGCAATATATAGTAACGCAGGAGCTTGGCTTCAACAGAACAAATATTGAATGAGGTTAATCATCCTACTTTTTGCTATCCACCTGGCCATGCCAAAACTTATCAGATATAATATATAGAAATATATACAGTATGGAAGATTTATATTATTTAGTAATGCCATTCCCTCTTTGGGCGCTATAAGAGAAGTGACATTTTATTCAGTTTACATGGAGGGTTTTCTATTTATTTATTTATTTATTTATAGAGCTTATTTTAAATGACTGCATTTATCTTGCTGGGCAGTACTGTGGCTGTATGTTTAATTATTTTAGTGGTAGCATGTGGCCTGATAATTTATTTTCCATCTGTGCTGTTGCTGAAGTTCAGAAGAATCCATTTAATCGGCAAGTAATTACTCAGTCTTTCAGCTTAGGTAGGTATAAGATCAATGATTAACTGTTACCTGCACAGACATACTTAGATGCAAAAGGTCTACTTGAGTTGCTCGAAGGCTGTTTACAGCAGTAGATCATTACCCTGAATTTTCTGCCATATGCCTGGTCGGGCACATTTCCACATATTACTACATACGTTAAACTGCTCGATCCTGCCAGCAGCCATGTTGTCTGTTGGTACAAGTTTGGGCTGCTCTGGTGTCTTAAGCACAGCTTTCAAGTTTCCATATGGTTTTGCTCTATGTACCAGCCCTCTGGCGTCCCTTGGCGAGGAGACTCGGCTGCCGGTACCGCAGCCCTGACGAGCACGGCCCTCACTGAGCCAGAAGAGAAATGTCAGGACCAGGGTCCAGCAGCAGGTTGCTACCAGCTGTGGCGCAGCACGTGAGAGGCTAGAGCAGCGTGTTACACTGCGTGGCACCACGTTCAGTGCCTGTGCTTGGTGCTAGGCAAGAGGCCCGAAATGGCTGTGATCATCACCAACCCCCTTTGCACTCTGATCTCTGAAAAATCTTTACAGGGCTGAGAGATCTCTGAATTTCAACGAAAAACACAAGAGCGAGGAAGTTAGAGATGGTTGCAGGGATGGGAATGCACATGTTTACATTGGTTTGTGCCAATTAAAAGGATCCTTATTTATCAGAGTATTTATCAAGATGATTTTTTGCGTGTACAGTTTTTTGGTAACATGAATCCTCATGCCATGTTTACAGATATGAACATCCTGTCGATGTTACTGATGAGATTTGTTTTATCAAGAAAAAGAAAGAATAGGTGAGACAAGTCTGTGTAATTTATTTTTTAAATGCTCATAACAGGTGTAAATTGTTTTTGTGGAAGGTGATTTTTATAGTATGTGTACAAAGATTTGTGAAAAATGTTTTTCATTTTTTATAACTATGACTGTAAGCAGAACTGAGTATTAACAGACAGTATATCACTATGATTACTGCTGCAATAAGCACCTGAGTCGCAATATTTTTAAAGCAGAAGATGACTGATCAGTCAGCTAGGATCAGGTAAATACAGATGTCATACATTTGTCGGTATACAGAGCTCCCAGAAAGTAGCAGAGTGAAAAAAGAGAGTATTATTCCTCACTTTTATTTTAAATAGTGTATATGAAACAATCAGATATATGTTTAAAGTTTCTCAACACTGTTTCAGTAGAAAGTCACAGTGTAAAACCAATTCAGGTATTTAGGTTGTAATGACATTTTAATATTTATTTAACCACGACACAAGGCCACACTTGGCCTTATGCTAGGCATTGTGTGTGGTGAAAAGGAGTTGTTAATTGTGTTGCATGGGTTTGGGTCAGATCATGTGTTATGCCAACTTTCTTAGGCAAGCCACAAAATAGAAACATCCTTTTACAAACCTGAAAAAATGACCCTTTTTGAAGATAATGAAGATGAACTTTAGAAAGATAATAAAGTAAAATATATTCATCCGTTCCTTTATCCACTTGACACTGAAAGTGTATTTTTATTTTTAAATGCCTATCTACTCTGTTAGTCACCAAAGTTAAGTGCAACTGCTAGTTCACAAATGAGATATTTATTTTATTATTTATCATGCCAAAATCTTGATTGTAAGTTGTCCTTTTGGGGGAGGAAGACAAAAAAAGAGAGTAAAAGTTGCATGTTCTTGAACTTTTCAAACCCCCAGTTACAGTTACTTGCTGAACAAATGCCAGGTTAGTTAATTAGAAAGAAATTGGATTGTACTGTAACCCCAGATAAAAGTTTTTAGAATATAAACATTCTAATAATAAAGATATATTTCTCAGTTACTGTGTCATTTAACTGTGTGAAAATACACCGTTTCCTGCAAAAGCCTACCCAGCAGCAGAGAGAAAGACAAGAAACAGCAGCCCTGCTTGGACTTCTGTTTATTCCTCAGATAAAACACCGCGTCAGTGAAGCTGGGCTGTCATTTGCCACGGCACTACGAATTAACGTGAAGGATGACTAACAGCATCTTGCCCACAGAGCTTCCACGTCACATCACCTGCCCCTCTCCTACTGTAATGATGCTTGGAAATTACTCCTGAGACTGTCCACACGGTCAAACCTAACCTGCCCAAAGCAGAGGTGGAAGAGTAGAGGGAAGGGTCAGGGGAAGGGAATTAAGGGCAGAGGGGTCCTGGGGAATGCAGGTGATAAACATTGCCTATTGACGAGTCATAATTTCATCAGGCATCTTCCTGGTTATACTTGGAAAGAGAAGTTTTTCCATGGCAGGGAACCAGGTTCCTGTCAAGATGGTAACCCATGGGAGATGTGTAGAAGGCTGGACAAGGAGATGAGGTCCCTTTGACACCTGAGAGCCTGAATAACGTTCATCAGGAAAAACGGCTCCTTCCCAATCAACATTTACACAACTTACTAGCTCATTTTTAAAGTTAATATCTGGTCATCAGCAGAATTTGACTGCTGGATGTGCATATCACATCCACGCTTCATGTCCCTTTAACAGAGGTGGAACACTTGAGAAGGGTCTGTACATGCACTAGGCTGAACGTAGCTGGTGTTAGCTTGAGGGGACCTTGGGAGGACATAACACTGGAATCGGAAAATGTCGATTTAAAATATTTTTAAAGCTAAAATCTGAAAGCATTCTGACAAAGTTGACCACTCATCTTTGAAAATGAATTTGAAGCACAGTTACATTTTGCCCTTCAAGACGCTTTGAAGACATCTAGGTGGGTTTTATGCTTGCATCAAAGTGAAATTCAGTAGGACCTGGATGCCTTGCTCCTGTATACATTTTTAAAATCACACCTCATCTATAAAAACATCTCAGAGCAGTATGTATACTGGCTGGGCCCTTAGAGGTGAGCTTTCTGCTTAAAACAAAATGTTCTGACTGACACGCAATGTTACAGGCCAGGAAAACGAGACTAATTGAAACCTAGACCTTTAATTAGAGCTGTACATAGAGAAAACACAATCATTTTGAGATGCTCCTGCCAGTTGAAGAGAGAGCGTGTTTTTAAAGCACTTGATGGCATCTGACCCCCCGCTCTGTCTCAGCAGTAAAAGCAGTCTCCTCCTGCCCAGAGGAGATCTGAACACACTTGTCCCCAGGAGAGTTACTGGAAATATTCAACGGGATATTTGTATTCAAAGGGATGGCCACCAATTAAAGCAGTTACTGGGTCAAACAAATTACCACTTCTGTCATCCCTCGTAATCCTTCCAATGCCACTGGCTCTTTCAATCTACTTGAGCAAAATCCCGCTCTTCTCTCTTTATCCTGCGTCACCAGATAGTTGCCTCTATTTGTTCTTACCTCAAACTAATGCTGCTTGTTTCCATACATCCTGTCTGAAGTGGTTGGAGTGGACTATTTTAGTGCTCTCTGCAGTGGGCATGGGCTTTTTTTTAAAATTTTTTTTTAGAAAAAATAATCCCAGAAGTGATTTTATGACATGAAACGTACAACAAGCTCTTAAAATAGATCCTGTTGTGACATGAACAAAATGTCCTTTCCCATTTTGTTGCTAATGCCACCCTCTATCTAGCCACGCTTTTTTTATTCTAGTCTCTTGAATTTTCATTTGTACGCCTCTCCAAGGAGAGGGAGAAACAAGCAACATAAGTTAAATGCAGTTATTGGCTTGACAAGCCTTTTCCCCCTCGCTGTCTCTGTCCTAGGATCGCACACTGCAGGCAGGTAAAAGTTGGCTCGAATTTTTCATAAAATGGTGGGAAAAATAGATACAACAGACTTCAGGTTCATGATAATGTTCTGAAAGAGGAAGAGGCTCTTCTGAGCTGAGAGAGAGAGAGAAAGAGGAGGAGAGATCCTCCGCTTGCCCGAGAAGTCACACTCAAAGATAAATGTGACGGGTTGGAGGAATTTACCATGTGCTGGTGTGAGATGAGGGAAAACCAGTTACACATAAGGCAGCACTGAAGGGATGGGGGACGCGTTACTGCCTGCTGTTTCTTAGAGGCTTTGACCTACAGCACATCAGAATATATATGGCCTGACACATTCACTCCTTAAATCCTGCTTTAGACACACGCTTTGAAGCCTAATTACTAATTTCAAAGTAATAGACTTTAGGATGAGGACTTCTAAGAAATTCCCCAAACTCTACCCATGGTATTTGTTCAAACCACAGTTTATTGGCTTGCAGTGGGTAACTGTGCTAAGGGGGGGCTTGTCAGCAGGGGGGATTTCTGTGGATGACCGGCAGTGGCTCTGCCTGGACTCGACCCTGGGCTCACTGACAGCCGGTTCCCACAGCAAGGCTTTCCTTTACATTACCTTGCTGATATTCCTGTCTGCTTCCCAAGCTCCCTCCCTCTTCTTTTTGCCAACTCAGTACCTTCAACAGCTTCTCTCATGCAGCAAGGACCTTTCCTGGGCCTCAGCCTGCTAACAAGCCACTGTATTGCATCAGAGACACTTGCAAAATGCCTTTTTCGGTGGGCCATCGGCAATTGCTGAAGTAAGATAGCAGATTATCCAGCTGTGCGCAGCACAGCTGCTTCACTTGCCCCTCACCAGGCGGGCAGAGGAGACAGAGCATCACATATTACACCACACATGCACTGTATTGGCATTTTACCCACACACCGGCAAAGCTCAACCTGTCTGCTCCAGCCATGACTACCTTTACATGTGCTTTTAAGCCAGTCCAGGGAGCAGAGGGCCAGGCAATGGTCTTGTGTACGCATGAACTGCACATTTGGGCTGTACAGGCACCAGGCACTGTGTAAATATACAGCAATGTGCAGCATAAAGAGATCCTGACCTCACAGCACAGCACGGATGGGTTTGACTACCTGAACTCGAAGCTTCACATGCCAGCTGGATGTGCTGGGATAAAAAACGTCCTGTCATTCCCAAGTGTGCAGATCTGGTGTTCCTCTGGTGTTCTCTGCTGCAGCCACCTCTCTAGACCAGATGGCTGCTTGGGCTTTTGCTCCTGGCATGGCATCCCACTTGTTCTGCCGGCTTCACGCTGCCCGGATAGCAAGCCCGCCTGTCACCATTCATGCTTCCCGTGCCTGTTTGCAAACAGACGGTGGACCAACAAGGAAAGGTCAAAGGCGTGTGTTTCTGAGAAGACATCTGCAGCCCATCGCCCCTCAGCTGGAGAATGAGGGTAACCTCAGCCAAGCATCCTACGCTTCGGATGTATTTTCACAAGAATATTATACATATGGTACTTGCCCTTCACTGAAGTACAGCCTGGGCAGGCGTCACAGACCTCCGCTCCTGAAGGGATTTCTGATCTCCCACCAGTCATCACTGTGCGGGGTTTTTTGTAGGAGAGGGAAGGCTGAACGTTGGTCATTTGAACAACACGCATAGGTGCAAACTACAGCTCAGGTGTGCACACTAGGAGAGGGCCAAGAAAATGACCAAAAGAAGGTTGCGTTTGTCCTGATATTATTCTTTATTAAGATTATATATCACTACTAGGTAGAAACCCAAACCCTAACTTTTCAAAAGAAAACTACTGTGCTGGTTCATAGATTGTATATAGATCTTCCACTTTCAACATCACAGAACGTATTCACCTGAAGCAATTTTTCGGAAATTTTCCCCCTTGCAGAAAATAGTAGGCTCAAGAGACGTTTTCTAATTTTTTCTTACAGGGATGAAAAAAACAACCAGAAAACCCAAAATGTTTCATCACGGACCAGCATCACCCCAAATCCACGAGGCTTACACCAGCCCACCAGGGAGCCTTTAATTGTTTCTGTGTCAGACTGCTTGGCCTACCAACCGTCCTGAGGTCCAGAGCATAGAGGTGACCTCCTAAAAATGGCAGGGTTTAATTATCCCACCCTCTGAAGCTTTGTGCAAGCACCTGTTTAACAGGAGCACGTGAAAGTCACCGGTTTTGCATGCCATCAGGGTATGCCGTGGTGTTTGTGCCAAGCTATGCCAGGGCCACCCCCGGGCAGAGGCCCTTCGCGGGGATCAGCCTGAGGTACCAAGGGATGGGTCAGGCATCACCCAAAGCCTGGTGACGGCGGCCGAATCAATTCGGATTTTTAGGGAACTGAGCCCATTTCCACACCAAGAGCCACGACTCTGGCTCCTCGGCATGCCTGTGGCTGCCAGCACAGCTTTGCACTTCCCGAGCCCACCTAGGCTTCCCACCAACCCTGCAAAAGATTTGGGGTAATGGGAAGAGTGGGGATATGTTGAAAAACTCTATTGCATGCAGCAGCTTTGAAAATGGGGTTTAAAGGCACCGAGGGACCATCTCAAAGGGCCGCTTGTGAGCACAGGGAAGCTCATCCTGCCCTTCTCCAGTCCCCCAAGGCAAAGGAGGGATTTCAGCCACAATGGGAGCCAACCAGTTCAGAGAAAAGGCAGAGAGAGCCCAGTCTGCCAGCAAACATGTTGCCAATGTACTCTTAATGGTGTCAAACGTTTTAGCAAATTGTGAAATTAAAGGCATAATCACAACTATAATGAAGGAGCCGTAACTCCTTTGTCAGTTAAATTTAATTGCCATGGTGAGCGCACTGAACTGTTGAGAACAAGTTTTACAGCACAGCCTTTCTCTACCTGAAGAAAACGTTTTTACCAGATGTTATCTGGATTTCACCTGCAGACCCCCCTCCAAGGGGGGCAGCTGAGGGCAACAGGCAGGAGGTAAAAACCTGGGTCCAAGTGAACCAGGAGGAACATTTGCCAGGGGACAGGCAGAAGCTTAAGTTTCCAGAAGCGTAGGCGGGGAGAATGAAAAAGAAGATGG